AGAAAAAAATCATTTTTGGACATTTGTCCATTAACTATTATATATACAGTTATTGTAACACTAAATTTTATATTACTATATTAAACAATTTTTTTCTTACATTTAATAAAATGTCCTTTGGAAAAATATAGTGATATCTTTTCTATATATTCATTGAAAAAGAAAAGAAACTCAAATCTCTTCAGTGTGAACCATTATAATAACTTTTATAAGTAACTGAGTTTCAAATGTTTTTTTCTCTATTCCGTCGATGTTGCAGTTCCACCGCCGTCGTGAGTGATCATCCATCGTCGAAACCGGAGCTGGAGCCGGAGTCAGAGCCGGTTCCGACACTCGTGCCTTACTCAGACGATGATGGCACACGGTGGAGGCCGTCTTTATCTACGATAATCGAAGAAGAGGAAAGGGGCCTAGAAACCGAGAGTGAGAGTAACAAAAAGAAGTCGTTGTTTCACCAAATACTGAAAAGATTCTGGTAATTAATTAACTTGTAAAAAATGCAATTCTATCTCTTTTCAGTTTTCTTTTTCTTATAAATTCATAACCTTGAGGTTTTTCTACTTTAAATCTGAACTCTAATCATGTTTATGGTATTCTTATGTTAAAAAGCTTATTCGCGATAGAATTGTAACTTGTAATTTGTTCATATGAAACATTAGCTAAGATTTGTGTTTTGTTTCATAGGTAGGAATATTGGAGTGGCGGATAGAGAGCAATGACAGATAGAGAGCATCGCCGGGAATGTCTACAACATCATGTAGTCGAACAATTTAGTTTGATAGTTATCTTTATTGTGTTTTAAATCAACGTCCAATTATGTCGCAAAAATATAAAAATATTTGATGTGTGACTGATAGAGAATGAAACAGTTTATCTGCAGATTTATCTTTTACCGCGAAAAGTCGTTAAATCATTAAATAACGATATTTTAAAGAGAAAATTACTAGAATAATTTTGAAAAATGGCATAATTACTAAAACAGTTTTTACACAATGTTGAAACTCAACAAAAGTCATAAAAGATATATAAACCTTAACAAAAAGTTTTTATTACAAAAATACCATTCTAATTATTTAAAAAAAAATTTAGAAATTTGTTTGAAATCGCGGCCGCAGAGGCTGCGGAAGCACCGGAGACGCGCTTAGCGTAGGTGTACCGCCAGATTTAGATAAAGTCGAATTGAAAATCACAAAAAAAAAACTTGAAATCTTTTGATTTTTGGTTAGAAAAGAGATATATGATGTTAAATCTACTAGTTTTAGGCTAAATCCAGTTGAAAACAAATTAAAATACAGTAAAAACGAGTTAAAAGGTAGTTGGCCACCATTGTTAGGGTTTGACAGAAGCTTGTTGTGAAGAGAAGACGACCGGTAAATTACGATTTTACCCTTTATTGAATAACTCTACCACTACTATAAATAAGTTTACTACATATTTATAAATCTANCACNACTANAAATAAGTNTACATATTATAANTCTACCANTACNACGAGTATAAATATATCTACCACATATTATAAATCTACCACTACTATAAATAAATCTACCAAATAAAGGTTGTTTAGTAAAGACGTGAAAAGATTGAATAAATCTACCACTACAATAAATAAATTTACCACATAATATAACTCTACCACTAGTATAATAAGTCTACGATTGCGCGAACCATCAATAAGTCTACCGATCACAAAATAACTCTACCACAACTACTAATAAGTCTATCACTCAAAAATAAATCTACCACTACTGTAAATAAGTCTACGATTGCGCGAACCATTAATAAATCTTCCGATCACAAAATTAACTCTACCATCACTAGAAATAAGTCTACCGATCACAAAATTAACTCTACCACTACTACAAATAAGTCTACCATATTTTATAAATCTACCACTACTATAAATAAGTCTACCATTGCGCGAACCATCAATAAGTCTACCGATCACAAAATTAACTCTACCACTACTACTAATAAGTTTATCAGTGAAAAATAAATCTACCACTACTATAAATAAATCTACAACTGCGCGAACTATCAATAAGTCTACCGATCACAAAATTAACTCTACCACTACTGCTAATAAGTCTATCACTCCAAAATAAATCTACCACTACTATAAATAAGTCTACGATTGAGCGAACCATCAATTAATCTACCGATCACAAAACTAACTCTACCACTACTAGAAATAAGTCTACCGATCACAAAATTAACTCTACCACTACTGCTAATAAGTCTATCACTCCAAAATAAATCTACCACTACTATAAATAAATCTACGATTGCTAACCATCAATAAGTCTACCAACCACTTAATAAATCTACCAATCGCAAATAAATCTACTATCACATGAACGGTAGACTTATTCGCTGCTTCATTAATGGCAGTTTCGTAAATACGTTTTTTGTCTTCAAAGGAAATAAGGCTAAAACGGATATAAATTTTTTTTCAAAGTTGTTTGAGTAATTATGAAAGATTAGCATCATTTTGGTCAAAAAAACCATTTTTCAAGATTTTTTTAGTAAACCTCCCATCATAATTGTTTATTGATTTAATATTGCCGCGAAATAGTTGTTAAATGTTTTTAACTATTTATTGATTAAATATTTACAACCACACAAAAAACTTATCTGCATATTATTTTCCAATTAAAGTTGTTAATTATTAATACAACAATATTTTAAATTATTTATTAACTAAATATGTTCTGGCAAATAGTCATTAGATAGTAAATACACTGAAAATATTTTCCACCAATAGTTGTCAACATATTTTCAATTATTTATTAAATATTTGATGTTGAATAATTCTTCAATACATTGAAATCATTTGCCGCGAATATTGTTAACCATTCATCACGAATAATCTATTAGTTAAATATTTTCAATTGACGTAGAATGTGTCGCAAAGAATTATTTGCTTACAATGTGTCGCAAAGAAAAACTGATGCAAATTACCAAGCTCATTCGTCGTAGAATCCTTATATAGTTGGATCATAGATTTCAACCTTTAAAACAGCTAACTAAATTACTGTTTATCATAAATCGATTATGTCGAAAAAACGCAATTTTTGACAAACGGTTATATCGAAAAGACACAATTTTTTACAAAACGGTTATATCTAGAAGTCGCAACTTTTTGAAATAACCACCAAACAGTTTTTTTTTACGAAAAAACACAACTTTTCGAAAAAACGCAACCCTTAAAAACAACCACTATATATAACCCGAGAAAACACAACAAAAACAATAATCATTTTTTTTTGTTTGCTATTATATATAAATTCGAGTTATTTACCCAAATTCTCAACAAAAAGTTTCAACTAACATTCTTCACAACCCAAATACTAGTCACATGGTGTCTCAACTTTTCCCATTCAATCATATAATGTTATATACATTATATTCTCGACATAATTGCTGTGAATTAAAGAGAGTTATTTTGATTCTTTAACAGAGAAGTGAAGACATTGGCCACGCTTGGTTGGGTTGTATTATGCCCTACTTTTCTTCCTCCCCAATACAAAGGATCCAACCATTTTTTAACCCAAACAAATAAATACTCCTATGTGAAGGCAACTACAAAAACTAGAACCTTTAATTTGTATTACTATTCAATTAAAAAGATTAATGAACAAATCGATAAGGTTTATCTAAAGGGCATTCGCCATTTCATATGGACAAAAAGAAGCTTTATTGGCTTCGGTGTTAAAGTGCCACATGCATATCCTATTCCCTGTTTCTTCTATCTACGTTTTATAGTTTTTTACATTAGTACTTTCGGTGTTGGTATCTTTTCCGGGAGTTTCTATCAGATTCTTTTTACGAAAATATCAAATTGGAAATAAATCTGTTAATTAGATATCGACGATTTAGATTGTGAAATGTAGATTTTAAATTCGCAAGATATTTATTTTGTGACTTACCTTCCGCGGATTTTCGTCTTTTTCATACCTGAACTTTGTAATTAAATATGTTTCATACACGAACTCGAACAAAAATTATTGGCTTTTTTATACACAAACTAATTAAAATAGACTAAATTATACATACGCATTAACCGTGTTATTTTTACCGTTTATTATAGCTGACTAAGATGATAACATGGATTTTTTCTGAAAATAAAATATAAGTAATAAGACAATGCCGTTTTGGGTTTTATAATTGCAGGAAAACAAAATAAAAGCAACGTCGTTTGAGTATCTGGACAAAAGACTACGGGACATATTGTCCTGATTAGCGCGTGATTCATGTAAAAATTAAAGCAACGAATCTAGATTTTGCAAAGGTTTTTGAGGTTGACGTAAGGAATCGGAACATCTTTATGGGTTTCAGAGCATTTGTTCCTACTCTAGACAGGAATAAGAAACCCTATAAATGGTAGACGGATATGGAGAAAGGTTTTGTCGAGAGGTAGAAGACGATTCTTTTTAATTTGTGTTATTACAAAACAACGTTGTTATATTGTATGTTATTATTAAAATTTCATTTTCAGAAGAAAACAAAATCCATGTTATTATTATCTGGACGAGCTATAGGAAATGGCAAAGATAACACTGTTAGTGTCTATGTATGATTTGGTCTATTTTAATTAGTTCGTGTATAAAAAAGCCAATAATTTTTGTTTAGGTATGTATTGGCACAATGTTTGAGTTTGTATGAAACAGATTTAATTGCAAAGTTCAGGTATGAAAAATATGAAAATCCTACCTTCCACATCAATATTATTTGGAAGACATAAAACACAAGTAAGTCGAAGCACATTAAG